AGCACCAGAGTTCAAAGGCCTCCATCCTTTGGTGCTCAGCCTTCCTTATGGTCCAACCTTCACAGCCATCCATTGCAAGTGGGAAAAACCACAGCCTTGACTCAACACACTTTTGATTGGCAGGGCGGTGCCTCTGTGCTTTTTAGGATGCTGCCTGGATTTGCCGTAGTAATAAATGCACAAATAGAAATGCAGAAACGGGAAAAAATAAGAAGCGGAACCGGAGCTCACCTGAAATGGGCCATGTGGTAGAACATAGGCTGTTTGTAAAAGACGTCCTTCTCCTTATCCACAATCACCGGGCTGTCCACGTAGTTTTTGCTCCAGTTGGGGCCCCCTTCCATGTCCAACACGAGATTCCAGTCCGTCCAACCGGTGACGTAATTGTTGAGATTCTGCGGAGGAGGAGAGTCGAAACGACGTCGTCTCTCTGCCCTCCGCTTCTCCCAGCCAACCTGGACGCCGACGACGGTCCCCGCCTTACCGTCAAGATGCTGTGGCTGTACTTGCTGCCGCGATCCCAGCCCCCCAGCACCACCCGGGGCTCCCAGAAATAGGACCCCGTCGAGGCCTCGGTGGAGATGAGGTAATAGTTGGGGAAGAGGTGATGGGTGATGGACAGCGTCAAGTCAATGGGGGCCAAGAAGTCCAGGTACCAGTGGATGCCGATCCCGTTGATGTACTGGGTGGCCTTGGGGTCCTTCAGAACCTGGAGAAATAAGTCGAGATGCGAAGGGTTATTTTCCTGGGGTCGCGCGCGACAGGCGGATAGTCGAAACAACATCGTCTCTCTGCCCTCCACTTATCCCAGCCAACCTGGACACTGACGACGGTCCCCGACGATGATGGTTCCCCTTAGGTTGGCTAGCAAGAATTCCCAGAATTTCTGACCGCCTTGATGGGAAGGAAAGTTAGGAAACCACGGGGATTTTTTTGGTGGTGGTGGTGGGGGGTCTCTGGCGGTTTTCTGGCAGGCATTTTGTGACCCAACTAGGTAACATTATCGGGGCTAGAATGGAGGAGGAGAAGAAGAAGAAAGAAGAAGAAGAACCACCAACTAGGGAACATTATCGGGGCTAGAATGGAGGAGGAGATGGAAGAGGAGGAGGAGGAGGAGGAGGAGGAGGAGAAGAAGAAGAAGAAGAAGAAGAAGAAGAAGAAGAAGAAGAAGAAGAAGAAGAAGAAGAAGAAGAAGAAGAAGAATAGTGCTGGAAGGGAGTCGGGTTTGCGGAGAGGAGGAGGAGGAAGAAGAGGAGAAGGAGGACTGTGGGTTCCTTGATGCCTTCTGTTTAGTTGTTTTCTTGCAGGCGTTTCATGACCCAACTAGATAACATCATCAATGCTGGAAGGGAGTGGGGTTTGCGGGGAGGAAAAGGAGGAGGAGGAAGAAGAGGAAAAGGAGGAGGAGGGAGGAAGACGAAGAAGGAAGAGGAGGAGGAGGAAGAAGAGGAGGAAGTAGAGGAAGAGGAGGAGGAAAAAGGAAGAGGAAAAGGAGGAGGGAGGAAGAGGAGGAGGAAGAAGGAAGAGGAAAAGGAGGGGGAAGAGGAAAAGGAGGAAGAAGAGGAAAGGAGGAAGAGGAGGAGGGAGGAGGAAGAGGGAAAAAGGAGGAAGGGGAAGAGGAAAAGGAGGAAGGAAGAGGAGGAGAAAAAGGAGGAAGAAGAGGAAGAGGGAGGAAGAGGAGTGAGAAGAGGAAGAGGGAAAAGAGGAAGGGGAAGAGGAAAAGGAGGAAGAAGGAAAAGGAGGAGGAAGAGGAGGAGGGAGGAAGAGGAGGGGGAAGAAGGGGAAAAAGGAGGAAGGAAGAGGAAAAGGAGGAAGGAAGAGGGAGGAAGAGGAGTGAGAAGAAGAGGAAGAGGGAAAAGAAGGGGAAGAGGAAAAGGAGGAAGAAGAGGAAGAGGAGGAGGGAGGAAGAGGAGGAGGAAGAAGGGGAAAAAGGAAGGAAGAGGAGGAGGAAGAAGAGGAAAAGGAGGAGGGAGGAGGAAGAAGAAGGAGGAGGGAGGAAGAGGAGGAAGGGGAAAAAGGAGGAGGAAGAGGAGGAGGAGGAAGAAGGGGAAAAAGAGGAGGAGGAAGGAAGAGGAGGAGGAAGGAAGAGGAGGAGGAAGAAGAGGAAAAGGAGGAGGGAGGAGGAGGAGGAACTCCGCTTAAATTCCACCCCTGGGGGTGGCCAACTTACCACTTCAGCCCAGTAAGGCAACATCACCCTCTGGTCGTCCAGAATGATGAGCTCGATGCCCTTGTAGCTGCTGTTGGCCAAGGCCGGGCCCAGGTCCTCCGCGATGAAATCCCGCTGGTGCTCGGGGGAGAATCCAAGGCATTGGAACGGGTAGAAGATGATGTCGCCGGCCGTGGGCTCGTTGCCGGCCGTGATGGCCCAGAAGGTCAGGTTGTACTTGGCGTATTCGTCCAGGAATCTCGGTTGGCGGAAGAGAAAAGGGGGGTGTGAAATTATTGCGCCGGTCCTTGAGGGGCTGCCCCAAAGAAGAGGGAGTCAAGCTATTCCCCGAAGCAACGGATGGAAGCGAACCGAGGAGAGAAGCAACTTCGAACTACGAAGAAATTTCCTGCCAGGACAATTTAACCCGTGGAACAGCTTGCCACTAGAAGTTGTGGGTACTTTTAAGGAGGTTTTAAAGGAGAGATTGGAAAGCCATTTGGGATACAGTCTCCTGCTCCTTCCATCCATCCATCCTTTCTTCCTTCCCGTTACCAGACCTTTAATTTGGAATGTTTCCCTTCCCTTCTTTTCCTCTTTTCTCCTTCCTCTGCCTTCCTGTCTTCCCTCCTTCCTTATTTCCTTTCACCCTCCCTCTTTTTTCCTTCCTTCCTCCAATTTTTCCTTCCTTCTCTCCATCCCTCTCTCCTTCTATTTCTCCTCCCTTCCTTCCATCTCTTCCTTCCTTTCTCCCTCCTCTTTCTCCTCCCTCTCTTCCATCTCCCTGCCTCCCTCTTCTATTTTCCTTCCTTATATCCTTTCTACCTCCCACATTTCCTTCCTTCCTCCAACTTTTCCTTCCTTCTCTCACTCCCTCTCTCCTCCCTCTCTTCCTTTCTTCCATCTCCCTTCCTTCCTCCCTCTTTCTCCTCCCTGCCTCTCTTCCATCTTCCTTCCTCCCTTCCTTTTCTCCCTCCCTCTCTCCTCCCTCTATTTCTCCTTCCTCCCTTTCTTCCATCTCCCTTCCTTCCTCTTTCTCCTCCCTGCCTCTCTCCCATCTTCCTTCCTTCCTTCTCTCCCTCTATTCCTCCTCCCTGCCTTTCTTCCATCTCTCTCCCTTCCTTCCTCTTTCTCCTCCCTGCCTCTCTTCCATCTTCCTTCCTTACTTTTCTCCCTCCCTCTCTCCTCCCTCTATTTCTCCTCCCTCCCTTTCTTCCATCTCTCTCCCTTCCTTCCTCTTTCTCCTCCCTGCCTCTCTTCCCTCTTCCCTCCTTACTTTTCTCCCTCCCCCTCTCCTCACTCTATTTCTCCTCCCTCCCTTTCTTACATCTCTCTCCCTTCCTTCCTCTTTCTCCTCCCTGCCTCTCTCCCATCTTCCTTCCTTCCTTCTCTCCCTCTATTCCTCCTCCCTCCCTTTCTTCCATCTCTCTCCCTTCCTTCCTCTTTCTCCTCCCTGCCTCTCTTCCATCTCCCTCCCTTCCTTTTCTCCCTCCCCCTCTCCTCACTCTATTTCTCCTCCCTCCCTTTCTTCCATCTCTCTCCCTTCCTTCCTCTTTCTCCTCCCTGCCTCTCTCCCATCTTCCTTCCTTCCTTCTCTCCCTCTATTCCTCCTCCCTCCCTTTCTTCCATCTCTCTCCCTTCCTTCCTCTTTCTCCTCCCTGCCTCTCTTCCATCTTCCTTCCTTACTTTTCTCCCTCCCTCTCTCCTCCCTCTATTTCTCCTCCCTCCCTTTCTTCCATCTCTCTCCCTTCCTTCCTCTTTCTCCTCCCTGCCTCTCTCCCATCTTCCTTCCTTCCTCTATCCCTCCCTCTTTCTCCTCCCTCCCTTCCATCTTCCTCCCTTCCTGAGCAGGGGTTTGGACTAGAAGACCTCCAAGGCCTCTTCCAGCTCTACTCCGATCGATTCCCCCAAAGTGTTGTTTCTGGTCTCAAACTCGCACGCACATTACCTGATGAAATAGTTCGCCCAGGTCTTGTGATATCTGTCACCCGGTTGACCCTTCAGGGTACCACGGCCCGTCATGGCGCCGTTGGTTTTCATCCAGACGGGTGATGTCCAGGGACTGGCGTAGAGCAACAGGGGTCGCGGGGCGACGGCTTGGGCTTGTTGCAAAATCGGGATCTAATGCGCAGGGAGAGAGCGCATCAAACTGAAAAATAACATTTAACACAGCAGAGCCCTTCAGCCAAACGCCTGCGTGGGACTGATTGGGGTAGATCGTAGGGGGCGATACCGAAACATAATTTGAAATCACGCCAAGATGGGAGTGGTGTGGTGGCCTAGAGGTCGGGCTCTCGACTCACAATCGGCAGGCTGCGAGTTCGAATCTAGAGGCAGCTATTTCTCCCTCTCTCTCGGGGCACGTTGAGAATATACCTGCTGAATATAATTGCTAACAGAAGCTGTTAGGAGAGGAGACCAGCGGAGGACAAGGAGCCAACTCGGGAAGCAAGGCATAAGCGGATGCTGGCTGGGGAATCAATAGAAGGAGTGGTGGTCGTAGGAGACAACAGTTCGTCTTTCTGAAGATTTTGCTCAATTGTGTTTCGCCTTTCGGCTGGGAGCTCATGGCCTTGTAAGGAACTGATAAGGTCTGTTACTGCAGTTAACTCTTTGAAGCCTGGACTTTATGGTGTGTGAATGCCATTCATTCACAGGAGATAAATAAAAAGGGGAATTTTCGGGACACGGAGCCCGTTTCTTGTTTCTGCTACGCTGGGTCAAAACCACAGGTGGGTTCCTGCCAGTTCTAACCTCTTCTATAGAAGAGGTTCCACAAATCTACTGTGCCATTTAGAACCGGTTCTAGCTCCCTCCTCCCGGCCGTCCACACATCATCAAGATGGAGAGCGAGAAGAGGAATTCTGGGAGTTGAAGTCCACAAGTCTTAAAGCTGTCAAGTTTGAACACCCCTGGGTTTTTTTCTAAAGGGTTAGGGGTGCAAGGGTCTT